ATATCCAGGCCTTGGGTAGGACCAAGGTGGGCAGCCCATGTCGGCCTTTGGTGTGGGAACCATATAAATAAATGGGGCCTATATGATGATACCCAGTTCTGACCCATACATTTTGAAACCACATAGGCTTTATGTAGGTCCAGGATGGGCTGCCCACACTGGCATAGGCCTCCATGTGGGGCCTATCTATGCCCGATATGTCCCACATATCTATATGGATCCCATAAACCTCTGCCAAGTTATAACCTTTGCCCATGCACAATACATGGGTTCCTCTATAGGTCTCACATGGGTAGCCCACCTTCCTGCATCGGCCCTGTATGGCACGTTTTAGATGGGCCCCATAAAGTTTTTCCAGTACAAGTCCATGCCCAACCCTTACCCATGTAGCCCACCTCTAACTCACATGGGGCCCAGTTGAGCATGCTGACTGGGAACTTGCAAGGGAAATAAAATAAGCAAAGCATACACTATAAACCTTCTAGAAAAAATCAGCGTTTATTATTAGACTGTGTAATTAGCATTTTTCAAGGGAACCTATCAGAATGGGTGGGTGAGAGAATGTCAAGGACACAAACAGGCAAAACAAAATGAATAGCATGATAACTAACATTCCAAAAAGTGCTTATCCAGTATGCAGGCTAGCATAACACAAATAAATACAATGAAAATACATAGAGATGCATTTAAGTCTATAAATCAGACGACAAGACAACAGGAGGGAAACTGTTGATAAAACACAATAGAAATACCCCCCTCTGTTTTGTAATATTTCGATAATGAGGATCAGAACACATGTGTGCAATAAAAACGTCACATTGGAGATCTAATTGAGTTCCTCAGTAAAGCTGCGAAGAAGATAATTAGGATTTGGTAATATGAGATTTCTTTGTGTAATGAGACAAAGCTGGAATATCTGCACGCTCGCCCACAATGATGAATACAAATGAGCGATATTAAACCTGGTGGTGGGTGCAACAACATGGGCTTCTAAGACCCAGTCCCATGAAGCAGCTTGGACCAATATTCACACACTGATATTACCAGCTGCCTTGTTTTGCTTGTTTATTAGAGCAGTGTTGCAATAATATTTGTGAGGAACAAATGCAACTGCTCGAAACACAAAGGTGTGAGTGCTCCAAAAAAGAACTGAAATAATGTTAAGTCTCCACTCTGGTTAATCTTAAAGAAAGAGACTTTGACATCAGAAAAACCTTCATTTACTTTTGTGCAGTTTTGTTAACATTTTGTTGTTTTCTTATATTTTGGAAAACCAACTTTGCGGCAAGAACACGCCAAGATTTTTACTGGCCCCGTCTTGCCAGTAAGAACATTTCTGGAGCTGCCACTGGGTGTGGGAACCACATAATCATATATAAATGGGGCCTATATCCTATACCCAGTTCAGACCCATGCATATTTAAGCTAAATAGGCTTTATGTAGGTCCAAGGTGGGCTGCCCATATGGGCATTTGATGTGGGGCCCATATAAGTAAATCTAAACAGTGTTAGTTAACAATTTTTTTACACATAATACTCTGTTAAAAAAAAAAAAAAAAGGCCTGACAACATGGAGACGATATGTTCCATTAGGTTCTTGTTCTCACAAAGACTCTGCTAAAATGATATGAAGATTTCTTATTATCCTATAAATGTCATCTTCTTCTATGTTGAAGGGGTTCAGAGCCAAATCAGTTGTTAATGCTGCTCTAATTTCGCGTATAGTAGCCTTAAGTGACAACATCGTGAAGAACTATTAAAGAAATTTTGGGAAAGCACAATTACTAAACTACGATGGAGTATTAGGACCAGGCTAGAGATATTTTTTTTTATAAAATAGATATAAAATAGATTGGAAAACATAGATATTATTCTTTTAAAGTTATTGTGTTTTTACAATTTAATGAAATGTTCCTCATGGTAGGATAAAGAGGACAAGGGCCCGTTCTCCATATCAGACCCCATAAGGCTCCCTTTGTCAAAGCTTTAAATAAACTGACAATTAATAAAAAAATCAATTTACATGTTATAAAATAGCTTGATTATCAGCTTGTACCGTGCTGTAGAGACATATCTCTATCTACAATCCCATTTTTATGGATATATTTTTGCTTGAAAAAAAAAAAAAAATAATAATAATATATATATTATAAAAAAATAAAAAAAACAACCAGTAAGGGTCCAGAGACATTTTTTATTATATATATATATATATATATATATATATATATAAATAAATAAAAATTTAAAAATATATAAAAAAAAAAATAAAAAAAAAAAAATGTAAAATTATAAATATAATATAAATATATATATATATATATATATATATATATATATATATATATATATATATATATATATATATATATATATATATATATATATATATATATTTAATAAAAAAATAAATAAAATTAAATTAAAAAAATAATAAGAATAAAAAATTTAATTATATATATAATTATATATATATCAAATTAAAAATGTCTCTGGACCCTTACTGGTTGTTCATTTTCTTTATTCGGAACCCGCTGAGTTTTTATTGGTTACCTCTGCTATATGCCCTAACCACTAAGCCGCCTCTCCCCATAAGAATAAGAATACTAAATAAGAGTAAGAGGCTTCTTGTTTTTAGTTTGTATGGATTTATCCTCGCTGGCGTTGAAGGAGCTGTCAACCCTTAGTTATATTCTCTCTCCACTCTGGTTTTTTAAGTGTCCTGAGGTGAACCTAACTTTTTTCCCATGTGTTTATTCAAGGTAAGCCTCCATCATCAGTCCTGTCGGGCCTAAAGCTCAATGTAGCAATGTGACAGGGTAACTGCACAAAAATAAATAGACATTAATGAATGCTGCTTACTTTATGAAAACGGCTCAAAACCAACTTACAATAACACAATTATGTTTTGAAATTAACAGTAAAATAATTTAAACGTCACATTAAATACATTGAAATTATGAAGATAATAATTTAAAGCATTCATTTAAAAATAAAAATAATTAGAGACTTTGACAGATTTGATTTTGACATTTTGTACACACATTTTGTACAAAAAGCAATTTTGTTAAGTACAGCTCTCTAGAGCAGTGGTCTTCAACGTCTTCCAGGCCAAGGACCCCAAAACTGATTGAGAGATGGAGCGGGGACCCCTTAATTATATATATTGTATAAAATTGTGTTCTATCAAACTGGTTCTACAGTCACTCTATTACAGATGGAGTCATGTAACGAGAGTAATTTCTCCCCGGGATTATTAAAGTATTTCCAATTCGGACTCCTGGCTGATGGGACAGGTGTTGTGAATGAAACGGTGCCCAGCTTGAAAGAGCTCCTGTGTGTCGCTGAATGTGTGCATTGATTGAAAGACATCTTCTGCCTCCATTTATCTTTTTACTAAAGTCTGTTAAATTAATGTTAATGTCTATTTGAAGACATTTCAATTAGTGGAAAAAATTGCAGGGGGCAATATAAAAAAATATTTCGTGACCCCATGCAGTACCTCCAAGGACCCCCTAGGGGTTGCGGACCCCCTGTTGAAGACCTCCGCTCTAGACTATTTCATTTTTTAAAGTGCAGTCTTGATAAAGGTAAGCAGCTGTAATTACTTTATATGTTTGATTAAACAGAGTGAAGTAATTGTATGGATTTTTAATGGATCCCTAGTCTGTTGTGTTATACTGGGGGTCACACGCTGACATTTTTGGGAACCTCTGCTTTAACTTACCAAACCCATTCAGATGTAATGCCTCTATAATTTCACTTATCATGAGTATAATGAGTCGAGCTATGTGTCCAGTTGAGAGAAAGCAGCTTTGCCATGTGTTGATTGTTCTGTTGCAGAGTTCCTGAACTCATCAATTTGTCCTAGCAGCGGACCTTGGCAGGCGGTTAAAGTATTACTACTGCTGTTTGTCCACATGGTTCTGCTGCACCAACTCATTCATACACTCTCTAATAACCTGCCAAAGAGCAGCTAAAGTTCTTGGAAATTATAAAGTTAAACATGAGGCTCCCTCACATTTCTTAGTATACACTCATGTCCATTACATGTTTAATTAAAATAACCTAAAGGGTGCTCTATCATTCAATGACTACACAATAAATTGTTTTTTTTACATATAATTTTTTTAGCATATTACTACATATTTCTTTTTTTAGATAAGTAATCGTATAGATTCACCAAACGAACTGAATGCATTACCCTAATATGTCTCTTATATCAGCAATCTTTCTTAAGTGTTCGTGCAGAGAATGTTGTAACAGGGTATATATGTCCTTACAAAACTACTTCAAGAATCACTTATTATACACAGCTTGACTCTGATTGCCCCATTAGTGACCTTAATGGCCCTATTACTGTGATTGTTCTGACAGCATTATAGGCATATTACTTCAAACCATCCTCACAATTGAGGATGTCTTGAGCTACTGCGAAATGTCTCCAAGAAAAAACAGGAGGCATCCAGTTGCCTCTACTTCAGCCTTCATATATATTCCTCACAAGACACACCAGCTCAGCTCTGCCCCATGCTCGTTACTACTCATCTGATCTACCTGCACCTACAGTATCAGCATTTACTCAGCCTTCAGACCAAACATCAATGCCAGATTATTTCAAGCTATTTGGTAAGACCTATTCCAGCATTCATTCCTAATTTTGTGACTGCCTTAAGGCTGATTTATACTCAGAAACCAGGTCATCTGCGTGTGTGTCACAGTAAATGCTCCTGCCCCTACCTCAGGAACTCTGGTCACATCTACTGTACATCTGCTCTACCCTATGCGTATTTTCTATCTGGTACCTTATCGGCTTGTTTTATTTGTATGACCTCCATTGCGGAAAACGACTCGTAAGGATCTATTGCTGAGACTGATCCCTGCCGGACCTGACTGCCTGTCTGTGCTGCCTGACCCTAATCTGATTGTCTGCCTGCCCGTTGCTCAACCTGTAAGTGTTTCCAAACCTAGTTCTGGATTTTCCTCTGGCGCTTTATTAGACTTCGGATAACCTTGCTCTGACCCTCGACTTTGCCCCAGACTATGGATTCAAGTTTGTCCTCCTGTCTACTATTGTCTTCAAGGTTCTGAACCTCCGCCTGTCCAAGGATCGTAAAGATAGTGACCAGGTTATCTTTACGAACGTAAAGATAACCTGGTCACTAATCTTAATAATTTGGTGGTTCGGGGTTCTGGAGAGAAAAAAAATCAAGCTTTGCCAGATCAAGTGAAAGTCCAAAATTTAGTCATCTAATGGAAGGTCTTGCTTCCAAATTCCGTCAAAGCGTAAATGTTTGTTTGGTGTCTTCGTCAGAATGGCTTACATAGTAGAAACCAAACCTGTGTTCCCAATCAGAACTGTGTTAAGGGTAGGCATTGCTGTACATATCTGAAGATATCAGAAATAATAGTAGTTTTCTGGATGTTTGAGAATGAGCGTACACCTTCAGTCCCCAAAATAGAAAATGTGAATATACCATTATATACCCAATTGGAGAATTTAGAGCATGCCCACCCAGCTTGAGACGGAAGTTAAAAAATATTGGTGACAGAAGATACCCGTTTGACTTCACAATATTGTTCAACAGTACTCCAAGTGGAAATGACCTCGGTGATGATAAAACCAATTTTTTGCTTTTGATTGTTTGATAGAGTTATTGGAATAAATATGATCTTGTAATCTGTGAGGCCAGACAATGCTTTCCTCAATAGGACACCAAGATGTCGTTTTTTGAAAGGAAAGGTGGTATTAGTAAGGGGGGGAGACATGCAGCAAAGGACCACAGGTCGGATTCAAACGCAGGTCGACTGCATCAAGGACTAAGGCCTCCGTACACTGGCCATGTGCGCTAACCACTACTCCACCGAAGCACGCACCTCTTTCTATAATTGTTAGTCATTGCAGCATAATCTGTAGGAAATTAGATCAGCAGCTCACCCTGGTTACATACTAAACGAATGTCTCCCAAATGAATTATCATATCCTGTCATCTCTATCTAAAATAAATGTTTTGTGTATATTTACTATACCAAGACCACCTGGCTGGCGGTTTGATATAGTGCATGCGTGCAATAAGTAAAGAAGGAAGAGTTATGGACATATATGTTAATAGGTAAAGCAATGAAGATTTCAGGATCCAAGATCCTTGATTTAATCATTTATTTTGGCAGACATATTTATTATTACCACCACCAGAAATTATAGGTTAATACAAACTGTTCGTAATAATATGTCTAAATATTTTCTTGATTTAATTTAATTTGGGTTTGAGACAATAAGGGCAATAATTAGCGTGGTACTAGCAAGAGAAAAGTTGAAATAGCAACATTACAGTACTTTTTTTTTTTATCATCTAATCATCACAAAATCAGAAAATTCAAGTTCAATATGGACTTGAAAAGAAAGCTTGCGCTGCATTTAAGATGCATGTAAAGGTTAATGTTTTTAAGCAGCTAGTTCACAAAAACTAAATATCACTGGTTTGTAGGCCGTAGTAGGCAGTCAGTGCTCTCCCCTCATTATTTAAGGTCAGCAGCCACAAAAGAAAGCATTATTTTTTAAATAATTTATATACCTTAATGTTCAGAGATGAGGAAACATACTGTAAAGCATTCGTTTTCTTTTTTTAATAATATGAAAGCAGATCAAAAGGAAGTGTCACAGTTTGAACAGTCTCTGTACAAAAATCTAGTACCATTCCTGAAGTTTGATCTTCTTCTTTAGGTCTGATCTGGTTGATTGTGCAAACAAGGCTTGGCACAAAGGTTTCTATTTTTCTCTGTTTCACCATCACTCTCCACCTAATACCAAGTGTGTTTTCCCTTTATGCTTATATGGTGTTAGCTGGTAGGAAGTAAAATGGTTGTAATTAGTCAAGTGTGTGAAATGAAACAAATGAGGCAGCCAGGGAGCACACCCACACAGCACAACCAGTTAAATTATCTCCTGGTTTGTGTACAGTGGGAGCCACTGCAGCTCAAGTTAATAAAGATTAAAGTAGCCTTCATATACTCTTTTTATTCTTGCAAATGTGTTTTATCTTCCACACATTGTTTTGGTAAATGTATCCAGGAGTGCAGGCGACAGACAACACAATATTCATATTCATTTAACTTTTTTATATGTAAGTTTAATTTTTTTTTTTTCCTCTGATTTTTTGCACTAGACCAATACAGACTATTGTGTTTAAAAGTTATGCTTTTTTGCCTGTTGTTGTTTTATAAATGCATTATGTAAAAGAGTGATGCGCATATCCCACTCCTTTCCTTTCATAACACTAACTGAAATATATTGCAACTATTTAAGATCAGAGGTCCCCTAGGGTTTAATATATAAGGGTATTGTTAGGGCTCATCATCTTTGTCTAAGAAAGTTTGTCAAAAAGCAACATAAAGGTAATGTGGGTTATTTTTTGTCTTCCCCAACTTTGGAAATGTTGGAAAAGCTTACAAATGAGCAGATTCGTCAAGTAGCTGAACACTTTAAAATTTATCTTGAAGCCGCAAAAGGATTAAAGTTACCTCAACTAAGGAGTTTCCTAAGAGACAAACTTAGGAAACTAAAACTAAAACTGAATGTCTTTACTGTTTCTCTTTCAGATGCTGCTGTGACAGATGTAACTTCCGATGGTTCAGATTCTTTAACTGGTGCCTCAAAGTTGGAGGATGAATCATCAGGTCCAACAGTATCTCAAGCTTCTCAATTAAAGTTTCAATTTGAGTCAAGTGAGATGAAAATGCAGATTGAGTTGGAAAAATTACGGCTAGCACATGAGCTTGAAGAGAGAAAACTAGCTTTAGAAGAAAAGAGGTTAGCTCATGAGTTGGAGGTGAGGAAATTATCTCTAGAAGCTGAGCGTTGAAGTTGATGTCTGAGGGCAGGTTAAGTGGTGGATCTTTTAAAATGTCTCAAGGTGGTGATGGGTTTTCTGGATATAACTTGGTTAGCATGTTGAAGCTGTTGCCTAAGTTTAATGAGCAAGATCCAGATGTGTTTTTTTTTCTCTATTTGAGGACATGGCAGAGGACAATGACTGGAGTGATGTAGAATTCTCCATTCTGCTGCAAAGTGTACTGGTGGGTAAGGCCCAAGAAGCTTATGTTTCATTAACTTCAGCTGAAAAGTTTACAAATCTGTTAAAGACGCTGTTTTGAAGGCTTATGAATTGGTTCCTGAACATTAGAGGCAACAATTTAGGAACTGCAGAAAGGCTGAAAAACAGACAGATCTGGTCAGGGAACTAAACACCCAGTTTTATCGCTGGTTATCAGCTGTAGGTGTGAATGATTTTGAATCCCTTTGTGATTTGATGGTGTTGGAACAGTTCAAGAACATTATTCCAGATCGGGTTGCCACATATGTTAATGAACAAAAAGTAAAAACAGCTGCTAAAGCTGCAATCTTAGCAGATGAGTATATCCTGACCCATAAAGCTGTGAGGGTTTTACAATTTGAAAGGTGGCCATAGCTTTAAGGAATCCCATCATGACTGGTTCTCAGCTAAAACTAGATTGGATCCTACTGGGAAATCTAAAGCAGACTCGGTTTATAACTATTGTCGCCAGAAGGGACACTGGAAAACGAGTGTCCTCTGAATACCAAAACTAAATCAGCTAGGAGTAAACAAGAATATCGAAAACCTGTGGCTTTAGCCAGTGTTTCTCAGTTGCATTCAGTGGAGTCTACGTCACCAGCTAAAACTGAAAGTGTAAGACCAACTGTTTTGGCTGCACTTGTTTGTACGCTTTTTTCAGAACGGACCGACAAAGATCCCCAGATTTTTGAGAAGGATGCCGGACAAGACTACGCTCCTTTCATCACACATGGGTTTGTTTCTTTGAGTGGTAGTTCAGATAAAGTGGCTGTGAAGATTCATGCGTGACACCGGAGCATCTGAATCTTTCATGTTGGAACCTGTTTTGCCATTTTCTACATTGTCTGATACTGGTTATAGTGTCTTAATTAGAGGTATTGGGTTGGAAACTTCTCTGTGCCTCTGTATAGGATCTACTTGCAGTCAGAACTGGTACAAGGAGAAGTAACTATAGCTGTCCGTCCTCCTTTGCCTGTGGAAGGTGTCTCTCTCATTTTAGGAAACAATCTGGCAGGTAGATGTGTGTGGTGAGATGTTGCACCACCTCCAGTGGTCCGAGCTTCTCCATCTGTTTGTGTGTCAGATGTTTGTGCTCGAGACTTTCCTGAGGCTTTTCCAGCTTGTGCTATAACCCGTGCCATTTCTCATTTTTTGTCTGTAAAGAATGTTGAATCTGGTAAGCCTGACTCTATTAAGAAGACTTCCTGTTTGCCACCTCTTCCTGTTCCTTTGCCACTCAGTGAGTGGATTGCAGCCCAGCAGGAGGATACTACCTTGTTATTCGGCACATTCGAGGCACTGATAATGGGCTGGCTGATGAATTGTCTCGTGCCATTGATGGACCAGACTAACAGGAAAATGGCTACAGAGGTCCTAGTTAGGATCCTCTGTTTTAAGGGGGGAGGTGTTACGGCTGCAGTGGGTTTCTCCACTCTTCCTTGCAGGGTTCTGGATGCAGGCCTTCTGCGGGTGATCTGTTTTGCCCTAATTGGTGCTCGTCTGCTTTAAAAGCTGTCATGCAAGCAGCAGACAGGAGGCTTCTCTCTCTTACCTCCTCAGAACCCCGTTTGGCTTGGTTTGGTTTGTATCCTGTCCTAAGGTTTGGTTTTGTTAGGTTTGGTTGCATTTGCTTATTTCTGTTTAGTTATTGTTTTTGCAGTAAGCCATTTTCTGTTCCCCATTTTACTTATCCCTTTTCAGGTATTGTTTCTTTATTATAATTTAATAAATTCAATTTTTACTTTAAAGAAAATCCTTGTGTGGTCTTCTTTAATGTTACCCCCACCAAACAAGCCTGGTGGACATAACAATTGGTAAACAGGGGTAATAGATAAAAGGACACCGATAGTCCTTTTAAAATGCTTTTATGTTTGCTAAAACAGGCAATACATTTTAGACAAATAATTTAGACTGAGCTTAAGTTGACTTCAGTCGGCTTAAATTAAAAAAATATGACTCTAGGTTTTCCAAAGTAATGTTGACACGGAACATGAATTTTGCAGGTGGAGGAAAGGATTATCATGTTATCTCTATTAATAGTGCGGATGTCGACCAAGGCAAAGCGGAGTGAAGCGAAGGTGGCAAATTTCTGGTGGCTAATTCCATGATCTTGGCAAAATGGCGACATTTGTTTAAATAAGGTTGAAAACTTTTTTGTTTTCATGAAATCCACTCAGGAAATAGATGTGACTGTGAGCAACTCGGAAGGAGTTCAGCAGAGACAAGCTTCTTTTATTAAAAATGAAAGAATGAGAAATTAATGTTAACAAAGGATGAAGTCAGAATCAGTGCGGCTGGGGGAGTTTTCTCCAGGGGTGGCTATAAATTTAAAAAAGACGTATACAAAAGAAAGAATCAAACGCATACCTAGTTATCACACCAGTTTATTTATATGAATGCCAACAACACAAAACAACATTATATAAACGCTTTATAAAAAAAATATATATATACAGGTTTGCTTTTTGAACATAAATCTTGCTCTTCTGAGGCTTTGTGAAGGCAAATCTGTATTTTGCATGGTCCAATATGGTGTCACAAACCTAAAAAAAAGTACCAGTTTAATAATGGAGAAGCTATGAGTCAGCTTTATATTTTTTTAATATAAAAAAATATGTAGTTTCTGAGAATGTGTTTAGTCAAGAGGAACTATGTGTTATGATTTTTTGCTTCTGATTTTTGCTTCTATTACCCTTTTTGTTAAATCTTCAAGAAACCACTTCTGGGATCTGTCAAACATCTACCCCCACTTGAGACAATGCAAATTAACAAAAATCTAGAAAAAGTACAGTAAAGGTGGCTCGGGCATCTGGTTAGGATGCCTCCTTGACATCTCCCTGGTGAAGTTTCTGGGCACGTCCCACCAGGAGGGGGCCCAGGGGGAGACCCAGGACACGCTGGAGGGAATAAGTTTCTCTGCTGGCCTGGGAGTGGCTTGGAGTTCCCCTGGAGGAGCAAGCCCAAGTGGCTGGGGAGAGGGACACCTGGGCCTCCCTACCCAAAATGATTTGTCACAGTCACTGTACAAAGCTGCTACCCCCATGACCTGAGCCCGGATAAGAGGAGGAAGATGGATGGAGGAATGGATGGATAGATTCTACTGATAAGCAAAAGAAAATGGATGGATGTATAGAAAAAGTACCCTACGTTATATTATTTTCCATGTGAATCCCACATTGTCCATGCTTCTTTGCCTTTTCTAAAAAGTGTTTTAAATCAGTCCTACCTGTCTTTATCCATGCTGGGTCAGATCCTGACCTTTGAAAAATGAGGCAGGGAAAGCAGAAAAAAGCATTAGCCTCACTGCATGAAGTTATCCAAGCCTTGTAGCTAAACCAGGTCCTGGAAAAAGACAGTGTGTACCGTCTCCCTTTGTCTTTGAACTGCTGATTAATTTTCATGTTCGGCTGATCAGGTCCAAATGCTTTCACCTTCAACTTCTCTTGGTAAGTTTGCTTTAAGGGACTTAACTTCTGCAACCCGATCTGTCACTGTAACTGTGACGACAGTTCCTGTCAGCTCAAGGCGCAGCTGTCCTGCACTCTGAGATCTCCTATACTTTTGCATTGCAGAGGAGATGCTACGCATGTACAACTTATAACGAGAGTCTATAGCTAAAGATTTTTGGGCGGAAATACATCCTCTGGAAAAACGATCTAGAAATAAATACAAATTTCTTTGTCTAGTTTGGCAGGCGAATGATGTAAACATCTTAGATAAAGTTGCAGAGAAGGAGTTACCATGGACCTGCATAACCAAAGTTTTGAATTTTTGTAAATGTTTGTTTACGGACCCCCTCAAAACACTGGTTTGGTGTAGACGGTGCACAGGTTTAATAAATTATTCCATTTGGGCCTAAGCTCGTCTTCATGTTTGGTCTGATGGTGGCTAAGCCTGTTGCCAAAACCAAAAGAGGCTGAAAATCTCTCCAAAATATATGCAGTATTCATACATTTACCCACACTTGACTGGCTCATCAGAAGCTCCAGTAGGGAGTTCCTAATAGTTAGTCCAAAACCTACAACACACTTTTGGACATATGTTTTGCTCAAGTTTAAAGTTGCATTTAATAACTTTTTATTCTGTAAAAAATGTTGTTTTGTCCAGTCTTACCAGAGCTGTGTCCTTTAAGTCCTTTCAGCGTCCAAGCCATACTTCAGCTATTTATTCAGCAGTTTGTGTCCTGGAGTTCTGACCTTAACAACAGCCTTCCTACCCCTATAAACAACAGCCAGTGCCTGTCAGCATTGCAGTCATCCAGCTAAGCAAGGTCATCATTGTACAGTACCCACCCTTAACCCTGTGTATAATGTTATGAAACTGTATATCTCAGTTGTATATCTAAAACTTTTATTTCCTGTAAGGCTCATTACCTTTCCATAAACCATGGATCCGGGCAGGAAGCCTAGAAAACCTTTAAATTAATTAGATAGCCATACATTTCTTGAGGTCACCTGATTTTTCTGTGTGGAGACAAAACACCTCGTTGTCCTTCGCCTGCGCCTGACTGCACTATTA